AGCAGAAAAGACATTTATTCAATGGCGCAAATGCTTCATCATCATTCCTAGGGCACCACCGCTTCCCCTACCTCACCCTAGGTACGAATGAAAGTGAATGAAATATTATTTTCCATTAATTTTCTATTGGCTTCAACACTAATTGACCCACAACTTGTTTTTGTAGCAGGGTCTCCCCCCAGCCTAGCCCACCAATCATTCATTCCCCATCTCATCACAGCATCGCGGGGGGCGAGACGACTTCATCCCCACGGCGATCTCCAACTCCTACACCAGCCTCATCGCCTCCACAACGATCTCCAACTCCTACACCGGCCCCACCGCCTCCACAACGATCTCCAATGCCTCCACGCCATTCTCCACCAACACCGGCCTCATCGCCTCCACGCCGGTCTCCAACACCACCCCCACCAACTCCACAGCGACGCACTACAAAGACGTCTAAGGTCCCGGCGGCAAAGAAGACCCCGAGAAAAAGAGTTATTTCTCAAGAAATACCTCCTGAAAAGACTGATGAGCAAATAGCAGCTGAAGAAGACAAAAAAATGAAAGATTTTTTTATAGATATCAAAAACAAGAGTCAAGCGAAGCTTAAGGAGAAGCCGTACTTTTACATACCACGAGATCAGCTGAGGCAGAAGGTCGAAGCTCACAAGAAAAAGATGATTGAAGTTCGTAAGCCTCCGCCACTATCAGACTATGACCGCTCCCTCGTGAAGTCACATGATGCAGATAAGAAAAGGAAAAGAGCATCAGGGAAGGATGTCCCACAGCTCGGACAACAGAAGCAACCAATGCAAAATCTTGTTGTTGGTAATGAATATGGTTCCAACATAGAAGTCTATCGACCAGACAACTCTGGAGAAGTGTCGGTTCAAGCCCTTAATGCTTTTTTTGAAGATACTGGTTTAACCTTAGATCAATTGACGGGCAAAGCTCCAATCCAGAACCTGGAAGTTGATACCTGGAAGACTTATAAATATGGCAAAAGTCTGTACAACCCTGCGGCTCTGAATGAATTGGGTACGCAAATGTACTTGCTCAACAAGTGGTACATGCAGGCGTGTGACAGGGGGGAGCAGTGGATCTTTGTCAGATTTAGAGACCATCATTACTTCCGTGGCGATGACATCTTACATATTAGTTTCGAAGAATTGCATCAACTATACCACTTGGACGCTCTAGACAAATCAATCATTAGCTCCTTTTGTTTGTAAGTGATTCTTACTTTTATTTAATAAACTCACTTCCATGCGTACGTGTATTTAATTATCCTCACATGTAACTTATATTTATATACAGATTCCAGATGTCAGAGCTCCAAAGAATACAAGACACCAGTGTTGGCTTCATTGATCCTTATATCGTATTCAAAACCGGTATTATTGTCAAGGAGCGGTGGGTATCTGAAGCACAGGACAATATCATGAGGTTCTTCGTGAAGCAGCACAACAAGACAACAGTACTTTTCCCGTACAACTTTGAGTAAGTGTTAATAATAATGTAGTCTACACATTTTATGTAATATCAATACAACTTATATGCATGTACGTGTGTGTATAAACCAATGCAGGTGTCACTGGATACTCATTGTCATTGAGTTAAACTCAAGTCGGTTAGTAATCTTTGACTCGTTGAGAAAAGAGCGGGCACTATACCAAGATATGTTAGACATTATCCAGGAGTAATTTCGATCTCTCGCGCACAACTATTATTGAATAGACTTTGCTATAATTTATTAACGATCGTACATTATTGGTCGCACAGGGTTTGGAAAGAGTTTATTCGGCAACACCGCAAGGATTGCAAGGCACCACTTAATGTAGTTGAAATACCAGTAAGTTGTACTATATACACTTCCCCACGTGTTTAATTACTATATCGTACTTCAATTTACGTGTGAGATGATGAGAATAATCTTCTTCTCGTACAATGGTGTTTGCGGCAGCAACCAGGTAATAACTTGTGTGGATACTACGTTTGTGAATTTATCACTACGCACATAAGAAGAACTCCTGAAGATATCCTCAGAGTACGTATATATCAATTTTTTATTTATTTTTAAATGAATATATATATATATATATGTATTAATACTTTTCCTTTTATTTCAAATGCAAGACTGAATGGTTGAAACGAAGGGTCATGCAAAAAGACCATCTGAAAGCAGTTTAAAAGTCAATAGCAGGATTTCTTCTAGAAAAAGTGCTAAATCCTAACGGCGAGTTCTACTTTAATCCTAAGGAATAAATGATGTAAATTAAATGTTTATTGATATCGTTATTTTCGAGAACAAGATTATGAAAGTGTTGTATATATACATATATATCTATAATATATATAGTTTCATACTTTATTCGAATATAATAATGCTTGAGATGAGAATTAGATGTAATTATATGCGTGCGTGTATTTATATTAGCAGCGTAGAATACGTACATAAAAACATATTATATATTAAACAAATACGTGTAACTAAACCAAAAACAAATTAAACAAAAAAAAAGAAAAAGAAAAGGAACCTTTAGTCCCGGTTGGTGTTACCAACCGGGACTAAAGGGTGCGGCCACGTTTGCTCGGCTGGAGGGCCTTTAGCCCCGGTTGGTAACACCAACCGGGACTAAAGGTCCCTCTTTAGTCCTGGCTCGATGACCCGAGACTAAAGGTGGCACCTTTAGTCCCGGGATCGTTGTCCCGGCGCGGTAACCGGGACTAAAGATCGTTACCGCCCGGGACAACAAGTCTGTTCTGTAGTAGTGGAAGCAGTCCAAATCAGGCTCGGAACCATAAGACTCACATACCCAGCAGAACTTAGCCAGCGCCAGAATACCATTAAGGGTTAGATGGTGCAGTTGCACTTTAAAAGACTCCAACACCTGCCTCAGGAAGACCACCCGGGGGTGCGAAGGCCACAAACGAAGAAATCCCTGAAGACAACCGCTTGACTACCCTCCGGCTTGGGAACGGTCTCATCACTCGGAGGCCTAGTCTTACCTTAAGGAAAATAGCCCAGAGCAGCATATTCGGCTATCGATTCCTCTGTAACCAACGAAGTCCCAAACTCCCAAGTCTTCGGGAGCTCCGCCTTGACACCTCCACCCTTCACCAGATTCCGAGGGCTAGCGTCAACACTCTCTAGATCATCCTCGACGTCACGGGCCTTAGCACTAACCATCATGGATTGCTCGTAGTGCTTTAGCCCAATCCCTAGATCAGATCCCAAGCAGACGAGAATACAGACCACTGAAGGAAGCCACCGCCAACAACGAAGTAGAAAGAAAAGCGAAGGCTTGGGCGAATAGCGCGCAAAATCAAAACGGGAAAGACTACCCTGAAAGCGATAGCACGCGCACCCCGGACTCAGCCCCCCCCCCCCTATATAGCCACTACCGGATCCAGGAGCTTTGCCGAGTGCCGGGGACACTCGGCGAAGACCCAAAAACTCTAGGCAAAGGGTTTGCCGAGTGTTACACTCGGCAAACGACACTCGGCAAACCCTTTAATGGCAAACGCTTGTTTGCCGAGTGTTTTTTGTCGGACACTCGGCAAAGAGGTTGCCGAGTGCAAAAAAAAACACTCGGCAAACTTTTTTTTCAAAAAATAAAATAAAAAAGGCAGGCCGCCATCCACACCCGCACCACCAGCACCGCCGCCGCCATCCACGCCTGGGGTGCGCCGGCCACCACCACCACCACAGCCGCCGGCCGACCGGGAGAAGAAGAATGGGAGGGAGGGGATGGTCTGGATCCGACGCGGCGGGAGGAGGGGAGGAGGAGGGGGCTGATCAAGGCGACGCCGGTGGGGAAGAAAGAAGGGAGGGGCGGAGGGCGGATCTGGCAGCCACCAAGGAAGAAGAAGAAGGAGGGGAGGAGGGCGGATCCGGCGGCCTGCCAAGGGGAAGAAGAAGGGAGGGAGGGAGGGGGGCGGATCCAGCAGCCATCGGCGGGGAAGAAGAAGGGGAGGAGGAGGGAGAATGGCCAAGGGAAGAAGAAGGAAAGGGAGGGGAGGGGCCGGATCCGACGAGGCGGGAGGACGAGGGGAAATCGCCGGGGCTGGGGCGGGTGCGGGGCACTGGGGATGGGAGGGGCGGGCGGGACGAGGGGGGCTAGGAGGGGAGGGGCGGATTTTTATTGCGGGTGGGTTTTATTTATTTATTTATTTACTTTGCCGAGTGTTGATTTTAAGACACACGACGAACCTCCCTTTGCCGAGTGTTTTTTTGCGACACTTGGCAAATCCTCTATTTGCCGAGTATTTTTTGTTTGACACTCGGCAAACTCTCCTCTTTGTCGAGTGTTTTTTTTTTGCCGAGTGTTTTTAGGATAGCACTCGGCAAAGAATTTGTTCGCCAAGTGCCCGAGAGAATACGCTCGGCAAACAAATAAACACTCGGCAAATTTGAGGATTCCGGTAGTGAGCCTCCGAGCAGGTGGTTCGAGTTCCACCGCCAACCATCACATCCCGAACAAACCGCGTCGGTTACGTTTATCCAACCAGGAGATGACACGTCAAAAAATGACGGCCTGACACAAACTCGCATGGGGTGGTGGGGGCGGAACCTTTGAGGATAGGCCCCTGCGAAGGTCCGAGGATCGAGGCCCACCTACGTCGAACCTAACCCTCGGAGGGGGAACTGTTGGGACGCGGAGGCCTGGCCTCGAAGGTCCCCCATTTTGGAACACTAACAAGCTCTTTTTGATAAAAGTCAGCAGAGATACAGACTCGAGCCTTTGCGTGGAGGACACACATGCGAAGGCCTCAAGCGGCCCGGCGAGGTCATAAGCAACCGCGAAGGCTCAGGAGGAGGGAAAGCAGGACCACGGAACGGAGGCATGAAGATGCACGCGAAGGCAGGAAGTACCTTCGTGTTCCTCTATCACTGAGAGGCGAACGGAGGCATGAAGATGCACACCGAAGGCAAGAAGTACCTCCATGTTCCTCTGTCACCTAGCACAACGACCAAAAGATAACATACTACGCCCACCGCACAGCACAGCAGCATGTCTCCAGCTCACCACCTCCGCCTCGCTGTTGCGGTGCTCCTCGCTGCCGCCCTCCTGCTCTCCGCCGCCGTGCCGGCCGCCAGAGCGCAGGAAGAAACTAAGCATGAGGAGTTCAGCTACATCCCCAGCGACGAGCACGGGCCGGAGCACTGGGGCCACATCAAGAAGGAGTGGGCGGCGTGCGGCACGGGGCGAATGGAGTCCCCGATCGACCTCTCCCACGAGCGCGTCTCGCTGGCGCGCTCCCTCGGCTACCTCAGCCACTCCTACCGTCCCGCGGAGGCCTCCATCGTCAACCGCGGCCACGACATCATAGTACGTTAACACCGGCATGCATGCAGTGTCCGGGAGCCCGGCCGGGAGCATTAATAACAGTCCTTCTCACGTTTAGTTAGCATATAATACACCGTCCATTTATTTATTAGTAGGAGCAAATTAAATTCAGGTGCGAAGCGTTCGCAGGAAGTACTAGGTAGGAGGATTATTGATGGTCATTAGCTCCATTCTCCATATATGCATGTCTCTGACTGGCCGGCCGGTTGATTGCAGGTGAGGTTCGAGGGCGACGCTGGGAGCCTTGTGATCAACGGCACGGTGTACCACCTGAAGCAGCTGCACTGGCACTCGCCCGCCGAGCACACCGTCGACGGCTGCAGGTACGACATGGAGCTGCACCTGGTGCACGAGAGCGCCGAGAACAAGGCAGCGGTGATCGCCATCCTCTACGAGGTCGGCCGCCACGACGACGCGTTCCTCCACCACCTGGAGCCCTTCATCAGGCGGATCGCCGGCGTGCGAGACCGGGAGGAGCGCGTCGGCGTGGTGGACCCCCGGCGCGCGCGCGGCAGGGCCAGCGTCTACTACCGCTACATGGGCTCCCTCACCACGCCGCCCAGCACCGAGGGGGTCATCTCGACCATCGTCAAGAGGGTACGCTGCTTTGCATTGGCCTTTGATTGTATACTTCACATGCATCACTCATCATTCGATCAACGTACGACTCGTGTATTATTGACACACACTTGCGTCGGTTGGTTGGTGGCGTCACGATCATATGATGAATGTATATATCATCACTCATATCATATACATTCTTTTCTGTCGGCTTGGCTTGGGTTGGTTGAGGGAATTTTTAGTACTGGTTCCATCTGTTTTTCAAGCGTTATTGGCTCTTTTCTGCAGGTTCGCACCGTATCCAAATACCAGCTGGAGCTTCTGAGGGAAGCCGTGCACGACGTAAGTCGATCTCGCCAACTTGTTAATGTCCACACGCATGATAAGATTGCTCGTACTTTTGCCTCTGTTTTTCTACTGGAATGGAAAGTAATGTCGCTGCCACTGCACGTCCCCGTTGTTCAAACTTAAACATGGCTAGAATCTAAAGCAATATTGACGTAGTGTGCATGTACGCTGGTTTTGGTTTTTCTCAGCCTGACCAAATCTCGTCTTTGCGTGTTTTACCTGCTGCAGGACAACGCGAGGCCGCTTCTGGAGGCGAACAACAGAGACATCAGCATCTTCCGTCCTAAGCCCGATAATAGGGCCCGTTTCAAGCCTCATATTAGTGATGTGTACATATGGGCTTGACACGGGGACACCAGTAGTAGGACACGTAACGTTTGTGAAATGATTCAGTCCGGATGAAATTTACATACATATATTCGATAGCTTATGGCGGATATTCTATTTGTAATTCTTTCTGTTTAAGTTCCTTTGTTATATGAGTAAATAAAAATGTTATTCATGTCCACTTTCATGGGCATCAGGCATGTTCATAAAATTTTGTTTTGTCCATGTTGATGTGGGAACCAATTTGGGTTCAATACTAAACTCACTACTACAAAAAACATTTATAGGAGCGGCTGGTAACCTTTTGTAGGGGCGGTTTGGTCAACCGCCCCTACCGAACCGTCTCTACAAATCATGCATTTGTAGGAGCGGTTCCCAGGCCGCCCCTACAAATCGATTTGTAGGGGCGGCTGATACTACAGCCGCCCCTACAAATAGATTTGTAGGGGCGGCTCGTATTACCAGCCGCCCCTACAAATCGATTTGTAGGGGCGGATGTAGTACCAGCCGCCCCTACAAATACATGTTTGTAGGGGTGGTTCAATCTAGAACCGCCCCTACAGTACGTTTTTCCGCAAAAAAAATTTAAATTTACAATTCAAAATCGCGTTGCCGAACTACAATTATTAAATAAACTACAATTACAAGTCCAATTCAGAAGAATATATACAACCCATTATTAAATATACAAATTCCATACACATTATTATCAACGTCCTAGAGCTAGCCTTTCAGTCTCACGAAGGTGTTGGTACTGAGGATTTGTACCTAAATCAGACTCTCGGTCATGGTAGGCGCCTTTGACGTGTACAATCTGGTCCAATATGAAGTTGCAAAGGTCGCCGACGAGCTCTAAGAGTTGGTCATCCTTGTATGGGTTTCTTTTCATTCCTTTCTCTTCTCTCCACTACAAGAGAACAAGTTTCGGTTTAGTATTTCATACCATGCACTGGTACACAGACGGCCTTTACTCCCGGTGGGGAACCCCCTCTAGTCCCGGTTCCCCACCCGGGAGCAAGCATCCGGGACTAAAGGGGGGTCCTTTAGTCCCGGGTCAGGAACCGGGACTAAAGGGGGACCTTTAGTCCCGGTGGGTAACACCAACCGGGACTAAAGATTATTTTTTTTTCTTCTTTCTTTTCTTTTCATTTTTGTTTTCTTTTCAAAATAGGTTTTCGATGTCGTATTGTACGCTGCTAATAATACATTTATACGTGCGTATAGTATGTTTCGGTTCAAGCACGATGAACGTATTAAATGACACAATTCAAGCATAGAACTATATATATATATATATATATATATATATATATATATATATATATGCATGCATGCATCATATATATATTTACATGCATGCATGCATATGTGTATTTTACATTATATTATTTCATGTGTATATATTACAAAAGATTGCATTACAGTTGTTGTGATATAACAAATTTCCTCTCATCCTCTAGTTTGGCTTCCATGGCAGTGTTGGGTCGAAGTAGAACTCGCCCTTGGAATCGATGACCTGGTCATTAAAAAATCCGGCTATAGACTCTTGAATTGCTTTGAGCTGGTCTTGCCGTATGACCTTTTCCTCCAACCATCGAGCCTACATGTTTGAATTAAAGAAAAATAAATTTATATATATATATATATATATATATATATATATATATAAAGACATAGTAACACAATCAATAATAATAATTAAATGAATATATAGTGTATTTTTAACGTACTTTGAGTCTCTCTGTAGGAGTTATTTGGGAGACATCCTTGATAAACTTGCAAACATAGTAACCACAGTAGTTGTTCCCCTGTTCCTGCCTCAGACACCACTTTACGAGAAAAAGATTTGTCATCCAATCTGGTGATCCGGTGAAAGCTATATGTTTAATTAATAAAGATGATGTGATTTAGGGGACTTACTTTCAAAGGGATTATATTCAGTGGTGCTTTGCGTTTTTCCTTGTGTTGCTTCTCAATAAAGGTTTTCCAAACACTGCCCAATAAAAAATTTGCCACGTCATCATATATAATTAATCATCAATGCAAGTTTGTGTGTATATATAGTTGTTAGAGATACCGAAATTACCTCTGGATAATATCTATCATATCTTGGTAGTCTTGTTGTGGTTTTCTCATCGAGTCATAGATTATCAAGTGACTTTTCACCAGATCGATGTCCATCAATATCCAGTGATTGCTGCATGTGTTTATAGGATATAACGCATAACACTCATTAATTAACTAGAATCAACATATGAGCCATTAAGGATGATCGACATTATTAACACTCACTTGAAGTTGTAGGGGAAGAGTATATCCTTCTTGTTGCGTTGGTTCACTAAGAAGTTCATGAGGTTACTCTCTGACTCAGACTTCCAATTAGGCTTTGGAATAACTGGGTCTTTGAATATTATATGGAGATCAACAAAACCAATTTCATTGCAGCCTTTCTTTCTGTGCTCTGTCATTATAAATCTGCATATATATAGTACTTGTTAGGATAATTTATATGTATATACACACATATGATGAGTTTACTTACAGGCAATAGCAGCTAATGATAACTTTGTCGAGAGAGGTCAGGTGGCATAGTTGATGAAATTCTGCAAAGTCAACATACATAACATCATCGCCACGGAACCAATGTTCGTCTCTAATTCTGACACCAATGCAGAAGTCTCCACCGGTAGACGCCTGCATGTACCACTTGTTTAGCAGGTACATTTGCGTCCCCAGATCACTTAAGGCTTGAGGGTTGTATAGACTCTGGCCTAGTACAAATTTTCCCTTCCAAATATCAACCTCCGCCGCACTCTCAATGTTTCCATCACCAAACATCTGGTAAAGGTCGAGACCAGTCTCTTTAATAAATTCACCAAGGTGATCCAAATCGACATCCGGAGGTATGTTTGCATAGCCAATTGTTCCCATTCGGGTATGTGGCATCTATGCGAACACCACTGTTTTGGTTGGTACTCCTTTTATCTTGGGCTACTGTGTAGAATATGTTCCCATTTATCTCGTACCCTTTATATGTGATGATATGCCATGATGGTTGCATAGCCAATAAATACAGTTGATCATGGATGCTCTCATCACCTTGACATTTTTTCGCAACCAACCGCCGAAAGTTTCCATGTGCTTACGCGTAATCCAAGCTTCAGTCTTCCCTGGAAACTCGGATCGTAAGAGATTCTTGTGTGTCTCAATATACGGATCTACCAAAGAGGAGTTCTGTAGAACTGTATAGTGCGCTTTATTGAAATAATCATCCTCCATACCAATATATGTTTTCCTCCCTAGTGTCCCCTTTCTGCTTAGTCTCCCCTCATGTCTCGATTCAGGAACACCAATCGAGTCAAGGTCCAGAATAAAGTCAACACAGAACTCAATGACCTCTTCAGTTCCATAGCCCTTGGCGATGCTTCCTTCAAGCGAAAACACGGTTGTGAACATATTTCTTCAGGACTCCCATGAATCTCTCTAAGGGAAACATGTTGTGTAGGAACACATGACCGAGAATGAAAATCTCCTTGACTAAGTGAACTAGGAGGTGTGTCATGATATCATAGAAGGAAGGAGGGAACACCAACTCAAAGCTGACGAGACATTGAACCACATCATTCTGTAGTTTAGCTAGATCAGTTGGATCAATTGCCTTCTGAGAAATTGTATTGAGGAATGCACATAGCTTCACGGTGGCTAGACATACATTTGGAGGTAGAATTCCTCTTAATGCAACTAGAAGTAATTGCGTCATGAGAACGTGACAGTCATGAGACTTTAAGTTACAAAATTTCTTCTCTGGCACATTTATAATACCCTTTATATTCGAGGAGAATCCAGATGGTACCTTGATGTTGTTTAAGCATTCAAACATGATTTCCTTCTCCTCTTTGCTTAGAGTGTAGCTGGCAGGACGTAAGTAATGGCGTCCATCATCTGTCTTCTCTGGATACAGGTTGTCTCTTTCTCTCAAACAACGCAGGTCCAGTCGTGCTTCAAATGTGTCCTTATGCTTTCCATACACACCCATGAAGCCTAGCAGGTTCACACAAAGATTTTTCGTCAGGTGCATCACGTCGATCGAGTTGCGGACCTTTAGGACTTGCCAATAGGGTAGCTCCCAAAATATGGACTTCTTCTTCCACATGGGTGCGTGACCGTTAGCGTCCTTCGGAATAGGTTGGCTGCCATGTCCTTTTCCAAAGACGACTTTCACATCATTGACCATATCGAGTACATCCTCACCGGTTCGGTTGCGAGGCTTGGTCAGGTGGTCTGCCTTCCCTTTAAAATGCTTGCCTTTCTTTCTTACGGGGTGATTTGCAGGAAGAAATCGACGATGGCCAAGGTACACGACCTTTCGACATTTTTTTCAAGAATACACCTCTAATATCACCGAAGCAGTGTGTGCATGCATTATATCCCTTGTTTGACTGTCCTGAAAGATTACTTAGAGCAGGCCAATCATTGATTGTTACGAACAACAATGCTCGCAGATCAAAGTGTTCCTGTTTGTACTCATCCCACACACGTACACCTTCTTTATTCCACAAAATGAGAAGTTCGTCAATAAGTGGTCTCAGGTACACATCGATGTCATTGCCAGGTTGCTTCGGGCCTTGGATGAGCACAGGCATCATAATGAACTTCCGCTTCATGCATAACCAAGGAGGAAGGTTGTAGATACTTAGAGTAACAGGCCAAGTGCTATGACTACTGTTCTGCTCTCCAAAAGGATTGATACCATCTGTACTTAAAGCAAACCTTATGTTTCTTGCATCATTTGCAAACTCTGGGAATTCTCTGTCGATTGCTCTCCACTGGGACCCATCAGCAGGGTGTCTCAACATATTGTCTACCTTACGGTCTTCTTTGTGCCATCGCAACAATTTTGCATGTTCTTTGTTTCTGAACAGACGTTTCAAGCGTGGTATTATAGGAGCATACCACATAACCTTGGCAGGGATTTTCTTCCACGGACGTTCGCCCTCAACATCACCAGGGTCATCTCG